TGTAATACACCCATTATATACCGATTTTTATCCCTCACTGTTTAACATGAGGCTATGAGTGTACAAGGTCAACAAATTGCGCCGTTTTAAAGGCAGTCCGATTTGGCCTACATTTGATGAAAATGCGAAGGACATTTGTCCACGGTCTCGAGACTTGCCCTCGTTGGCGATTATGGATTACTTTTGATTCCCCGGTGTTATGACTTTGTGCACCTACTTTTTTACATATTAGGCGATATTTTGCTGAAGATTCCGAATAGGCAGAATGTTTTGCGTAGAGGCATTTGTGCAGCTTAGTATTAAGCTCAACAAAGACAGGGGAAGCTAGGTGTCGATAAATTAACACTTACCTCTTTTCACGGAAACAGTTGCGACAGCGGGGAACATTGTGCCATTTTTCCAAACATTTTGCACGGTGACCTTGTCAAGTTTAGTGAAGTCCAAGCCACCAGCAACGATCGAGGTCTCCTTCGTGGTATAGGTCTTCTTTAAGTCTTGACCGTAGACGGTAACGTGGTACTCGTCTTTGAATTTATCGGCAGGAACTGGTTTGCTCCAGCTCACCTTGATGGCGCTGCCATTCACTTTCGAGACACTCAAATTTTTAACAGTTGTGTACTCTGTAGACAAAATTGGACAGAGTCATTTGTTAAATAAAAACGAAGAGTGCAAAACGGTTGTGTATTCTTTTATGCGGACGTTACATGCTTGTTAGTTACCATAAACTTCAGGATGAAACCGCGTTAGTAAACATGGAATACGGTATGGATGTTAACAGAAACTTACGGGTCTTTGAAAGCCTCACTTTAATTGATGCTGAAGCGTTGAACGGCTTGCCCTGCTTGTCAGTAGCGTGTATATTGAATATGTAAACGGAAGCTGGATTCATGTTGGATAAAACGTATTTTGTGTCCGTCACCGTAGCCTTGTCCTGGAATGTTTCGTTTTTGACGATGACAAGATACTTGTTTCCGCATTGACTTGTATCCGCTGGAGGCTTCCAGAGCACACGAACGGTATTTTGACCCGCTATCTGGGCAGTGCGATCTTTTGGCACCGGCTCTTCTGTAGACACAAGACAAATGAATCATCTGAATCCGAGGACATAAGCGTATTGCCAGTATTCGTATTTAAAATCTTCAAATTGGCATCTATTACTGTTGTACATCATTCAGTAAGATTTTGACAAATGTCACCTATTCGCAGTTGAGATATAAGCGGATGTCTGTGCACATTTAGGACACGCTTAATTTCTGCTCAGTTGGTAGTTATCTTATAAGAAAAATTATGAAAATCTAGGGGAACTCCAACGGTCTATTAATCTAAAAATCCGACTGCTAACGACCATGGCGGGCTCCCCTGTTTCTGTCATCTTAGCGGCAGACGCGGCAAATAGCAAGGACGTATGCTTGTCGCATCTCTCGTTCTCCGGGATCGTCTGTTGACGCTGCTGTCCCTTCTAGCGTGATGCCACTATACGCTGCAGTAAAAAACATCTTGCTTGTGCGTGTTGTACTGTAAAAGGATATTGATAGAGAGCAGAATGTTCGTTGTGTGTTCATGAAATCGAGGTAAATTTACGTACAACATAACGAATTAGCACCAATTGAGGCACATGAATGACATGCTTGCCAAAACGCAGGCTCTTCGGGAAAAAAGGAGGATAAATGGAAAGCCCTTATCCTCACCTGGTATGCTTACTGCAACGTATTGAATGCTTGTCTTCAATCTCATCTACTGATACGGTATAGGAATAGGAAATACCTTTCCACTGAGCTTAGCCAACTCCTACAGTAAGATGTGCCCATACTCAAACGAAAGTTATGCCGAGCTATCTCTCTGGAGGGAAAACAAATTTCAACAAGACATGTGGTACGAGGACAGCCACGCCGTCTTCACAAAATAAAAACCCAGCAAAAAAGCAAAATGTGTTCAGGAAGTCTAGGGGCCCTGAGTTGGTATACTCGCCCATCTGCAAAACAGACAGCCATTGTTGACTCAAAACCCAATCAGAGCACTCGGTCGAAACCACATTTTATAAGCTAAAAGGAAAGACTAAACAGAAACATCGCCCGTAAGAACCCCGTATCTGCTGCATAGTCACAAGGCATCCGCCTGCCTCTATCTGCTGATATGCAACTCCGGACAACGAAGGCATGCCCACAGGAAACCTCCGGGTGTCTCACAAACACCAGACAATGACGAAAAAAGGTGGTAAGCCCAGATTCCCATTTACTCTGTTTATTCATTATTACGGACCTAATGAAATAGTGATAGGACATGGCAATGTTGGTTGCGTATGGAGCAGATTTATCTCCTATTAAACAGGGCACGTCCCCAAAAATTCAAGAGGAGCTAGATACTGCAGTAGACCAAAAAGTTGGCTTGAAAAGAGAAATATCTCCATAAAACTTTAAGGCTTGATAGAAATTGAGACATTAATTAGTAGCGTTACGCTGACCCAGTACATAACAAAACCTGATGGGCAGTGATGCGAGGGCAGAAACCGAGGCAAGCCCTGATGTGCTCGGTCTCAAAAAATGTACTTATTTGGAATAGTCAGTATTACAAACATTAGGGTTCATTAAGCATTTCAAGCACTAGGGCATGGTAGGACATGTGCATTTAGTTACAAACGCTTTAATACGATCCAAATGCTAATCACTATTTCCTCCTACAGACTGGGTGTGCATACTGGGTGCGACTCTTAAAATAAGCGCACACACAGGCAGTACTTATATGTAGTATACTATCTACTGGCCATAGTAAGCACGATTACTAGGAACTAGCGTTGTTAGCATAGGCACGTACCTATAGCAGATGCATCTTAGTCTGTACCTAGTAGAAACGTACACAGCTCGGTGGGCAGTGTTGAGAGTGCGTAGTCCAAGGCCAACGCTTCTATGCTCAGGACTAAAGCATATACCTACCTGAAATAGTTAAACTTAAAGTCGCATTCATTGTTGAAACCAAGGTAGTATGAGCCCTAGTGTTGGCTTTAACAGCGTCACCTCTGAAAAATGGAAGCGTCAGTGCCAGCACCAGTACTACTACACTTCTTGTCGAGATTGGGCCCAGTACAAATTTTAATCAGCGTCACTTTAGACTTGCAAAACATTCAGCAGTAGTACCAGCAAATACTATGACTCAGCTATACCCTAGTAAGTAGTACTAGAAGGAGCAGTATTGGTAGTAGCGGTACCAGTCCTGGCTTACTAAAGTCTGGCTAGACACCTACTATATATGAGTGAGGGAAGACAGTGTAGTAGTTGCCGCGCAAAGTCTACTGCTACTAGAGGCTTAGTTAGGCTGTGCTTCAGGCTGTATCTGGTGAAAGCGGCTTTCATCAGAAGCCTAATTTAGTCATCACTGGTCAAAGCGGATAGGGTTAGATTGAGGTAGGCAGTTGCGGGTCTATTTCACTAAAATCTCGAACTAAGCTTTATTACCGCCTCTGCTCCTGAGCAAATGGTGAACTTCATCGAAACCGATGGTCATGCTACACACACACGTACGACACAACGAATATTTCTGGAAAAGGATAGGGAAGTCGATTTACAAATTTTCTTCTTGCAGGTGAGTAATACATTTATGGAGCCGTAGGTCGTTTGCCTACACCGGCTGTTTTCTCTGAAAATTTGTAGAGGACCCCCATTTAGAGTACTGTCAGAACATAGAAGAGAATTAATCAATTAAAAAAATTCAAATTGAACAGGCAGAAGAGTATCAGATTAAAAAGAGGGTTACATTCTGTCACCTATTGTGCTTTGACTATTAAGCAAAGTTGACTAGAATAAATAGACTTTACTGGGAACTGCGCTGGTATACGTAAAAAGTGTATGACCCTTAGTTTTCAGCAGAGGCTTATCCCTTGTTTTTAGAGAAATCTTAAAATACCATCAAAATATGCCATTTAGGTATGGATATAAGCGCCGAAATAGTTATGTTCACATATAATTGATGCCAAAATATCTAGCCCATTTTCCAGAAGCAACTTCTTATTCGTAGTTTTTTAAATTAATCTTAAACTTTTCATTTTCTGTTTTTGTTTTGCAGGTTTATTTTTCTCGGAATAAAAAAGAAACGATCAGATCTTCGTTATTTGGAAAAATGCCTATAAAAAATATCACTTTTTTATTTTTTTTGGTAAATGGGTCGAGAAAAATTTTTTAGGACAAACTAATTCAACCACTGAAATTTGTGAATCGTTTAGCAGAAAAATTGTAATTTATCGACCAACCCATGTCTGATTTACTTTTGGTACTTAATTTACCGCTCTAATAGTTGTGCGGACGGGGCGTGCGCTGTCTTCCAGTAACAGAAACTTTCCTGCCGATATCTCGACAGATATACAACCTACTGAATATTTAATACAAATTAACATTAAGACTACCCACCGGCAGGCGTGGACCCCTTGGCGTTATCAATGAACGACACCGATGTCTTGCCAGCCATAGGAATTGGTATTATCCTCACATTGTACATTTTTCCATCCTTATACTTGATCAGCATTTTTCGTTCTTGATTTTCCAAGCGTCCAGTGAAAAGCACCTGGTCCTCCTTTTTCAGTCCTAAAATCGCGCATATACGGCGATAAATGCGATAAGTCAATAGCATAGAAGACAACGATATTAACAGCATCAAAGCAGTTAAACCGACTGCTATTTTGGAGTTTAGAAAGACACACATACCGGTCAAGCCATACAAAGTAATCATACTCTTGTCTTTCTTCTCCGTGGTGATAGGCCCAGTCCAGGTTACTTTCTGAAATGTCAAACGAGAACTCCAGTGCTTTATATCTATGTCTGTTCGTAGTTAGTGGGGATAGTAAGTGTCAAAGAGGTACTTTCCCAATAAAAACTAAGACAAAGTTTTCTTCTCTGTCTCTTAATGCGCACATTAGACATGACCTCGTAACAGCCATTAAAGGCTACGTATGCTTTTCGAAGTATCAATCCTAAAGTACTCTCCTAGATAGACAAAATGTGAGACAGATAGCAGTCTTCAATTCAGTACTTACCCCTGGTTCGTTCGTAAATACTGCGTAGTGTTGGATGACCTCATTTTCAGCG